CTAGTCGCCATAGTTAGCCGTCTCCATATCGTGGGATCCATTTGTCAATGGGACAAATTACGCCAACGTGGCAGGATATGACGACACTGCTAGAGTGCCTTTTTTGCCCAAGATTTTAAATCAAGGCCGATATGACCGGTATAAAGGCCGATATATCACTTTTGGGGCCTATCGATATAGACATAACATATCATTTTGTAAATATCATTTTCAAACATATCACCGGGTATGGACTGAAATATCAACCGATATGGCTGATATCTAGCCCGATATGTCCACCGATATAGCACGTTACGTGGATAACAATAGTTCTTTATTAAATAACAGTGAAATAAGATTATGCACTTACAACTTCAACATATATTATCAAAGTCATGCACAATGTTTCATACAAATGCATACATATTGTATTTTCTTAATCATAGAGTAAGAATTTTGTGAATCTTTCATTAATAGTTTCTTAATCAACAAATTAATAAACTAGGAATCTAAACATGTTATGTTCAAGCATTGACATCATACATTTAGTTTTACTAAAAATACATGTTTTGAACAAGAATAATGAAAAAAACTAGACATGTTTTCTCCGATATATTCACATATCGTCCGTTATATCACCCGATATCCGACATCCGATATGTCGAAGCCAAACCGATACGAACCCGATATCCGATATTTTGAAGCTTGTTTTTGCCAAAATCAACATATTGGCTCATATTATGGTGATTTGGCCATTATGGCGACTCTGGTAGAGTTGCTCTTAGGCTGGCTAGCTTGTGCGAGCTAGTTCTCTCAACCAAAAGCACTGACCGCAAAGATAATTGCATCGTAAAGTATGTTGGACAATACTTATAGGGTTTGCGCCAACATGCTTCAGGTGGAAAGGACAAAGAGCATCTGTTTCGGCCGGCGGCGCCCCAAGCATGGGAAGGTTGCGTGTAAGGTGGTGGAGAAGGTTGCGTGTAAGGCGCCTCCTCCTTTAGAGGTACATTTTTGAGGTACATTTTTGTACTCCGGTAGCAACGGACAGGTATGTTTGCTGGTAAACTAACAAGGAAGATTTGATATGTACGCAGTGCAAGACAGGTAGTCCACATCAGTGGACATTGTATTTCTCTCATACATATAGACAATTACAAGAAATTGAATACATACACTGGTACACAAATACACAAAGGGTATATCTAGAAGTATGTACAAGCGATTTGTTTTGTATATAGTATGATGTTATCGTGTTTATTATTTTTTGTTTACTTTCGACATGTTGGACTAATTGACTAATTGTTAATCCATGCATCATCATCTAATCCTGCTCATCACTGGGAAGAAAGGCTAGTTAATCACGTAGTCAGCGGAGGCACGAGGGCACGATGTCACTGAAATCTGCGCCTGGATCCCCACTATCTGTATAGAAATGAAATGTCTCGGCTGCAACGGCGGATCTGGTCGCTTGCGTGCACGAGATCGACGGAAAATTTGGCTTCATTCACACGGATTTCCCGGTCACTGTCAGCTCACCACTGTCCAAGAGCAGAAGCGCAGGCATACATGCAGGTCGTCGCTGACATTTTCAGATTTCCTTCTCCGCCACCGCACCGAGCCGTACGTGCGTGCAAGCTGCAGGTCTAGCCACCGATGGATTTCGTGTGGGCGGTTGTGGCGGCGGTGGCGGCGGTGTTGGCGTGGTGGGCGCTGAGTGCGCTGGTGTGGAGGCCGCGCGCCATCGCCCGGCAGCTCCGCGCCCAGGGCGTGGGCGGGCCGGGCTACAGGTTCCTGGCCGGGAACCTCGGCGAGATCAAGCGTCTCCGCGCCGCCATCGCCGGCGCCGCGCTGGACGTCGGTTCCCACGACCTGGTGCCCATGGTGCAGCCGCATATGCGCAAATGGATCCCACTCCACGGTACCAAACTCATCGGCCTGCGTCTGTGATTCCTTCCATGATTCCATGCCATTCATCTATCCGCGGCCGTTTGTACGTGCTCTCTGCGCTGCAGGACGCACGTTCTTGTACTGGTTCGGAGCACGGCCGACCCTGTGCGTGGCCGACGTGAGCATGGTGAGCCAGGTGCTCCTGGAGCGCACCGGGCTGTACCCCAAGAACACCGGGAACCCGCACATCGCCCGCCTGCTCGGCAGGGGGTCGTGTTCGCCGACGGCGACGAGTGGAAGCGCCACCGCAAGGTCGTCCACCCCGCCTTCAACATGGACAAGCTCAAGGTACGACACGATCGACGTGTGTTATCATTCTAGCTCCAGCGCCAACTTAACAGCTGCCATTGGTACGAGCGACAGGTGATGACGGCGACCATGTCGGACTGTGCCGGGTCAATCATGTCGGAGTGGAAAGCGAAGGTGGGCGAGGGAGGCGGCGCGGCGGAGATCGAGCTGAGCGGCCAGTTCGAGGAGCTAACCGCGGATGTCATTTCCCCCACGGCCTTCGGAGCTAGCTACAGAGAGGGGAAGCGAGTCTTCCTGGCGCAGAGGGAGCTCCTGTTCCTTGCCTTCTCCACCGTTTTCAATGTCCAAATCCGGGCATTTAGGTGCTTAACTACTACTTGCTTCTTTTCCCATTTTGTCGCTTGGTTCAAACCAATACAAGATTATAACCTGTATATTTGACAACATGCATGTGTTTATGGGATTCGATGATCATCAGGTACCTGCCAACCCAAAAGAACCTCAAGATATGGAAGCTCGACAAGGAGGTGAGGGGCATGCTCACCAACATCATCAAGAGTCGGCTCGCAGACAAGGACACCATGGGCTATGGGAACGACCTGCTCGGGCTGATGTTGGAGGCGTGCACTCCGGAGGAGCACGGTCATGAGCCGCTTCTAAGCATGGACGAGATCATAGACGAGTGTAAGACCTTCTTCTTCGCTGGACACGACACTAGCTCACACATGCTTTCATGGACCATGTTGTTGTTGAGCACACATCCAGAATGCGAGCAGAAGCTCAGGGAGGAGGTGGTGAGAGAGTGCGGCAATGAGGTTCCCACCGGTGACGTGCTCAACAAACTAAAGCTAGTCAACATGTTCCTTCTAGAAACTCTTAGGTTATACTCTCCTTTGTCGACCATTCAGAGAAAGGCAGGTTTGGATCTTGAGGTCGGTGGCATCACAGTGCCCAAAGGCACGGTCCTGACCATCCCCATCGCGTCGATACACCGTGACAAGGAGGTATGGGGAGAGGATGCCCATGAGTTCAATCCTCTCAGATTTGAAAACGGAGTGACACGGGCAGCAAATCATCCTAATGCATTCTTGTCTTTCTCCGGTGGGCCAAGGTCGTGCATTGGGCAGAACTTTGCGATGATCGAGGCCAAGATTGTGATCGTCATGATTCTTCAGAGGTTCTCCTTCTTCCTATCCCCTAAGTATGTCCATGCCCCCATGGACGTGATCACACTACGACCAAAGTTTGGTCTTCCCATGGTTCTCAAGAGCCTAGAGATGTAGAGGCCGTGTATTGTGTTGAGTATAACACAAGTTTCTGTATTTGTTTGTCTAGGGTATAGTTTATGTTGTATATTAGATATATTTGTGTAACTGTTGTCAGATCTTGTTTGGGCTCAAAATCCCCCAACAAATTCAACTATATCGATGTTGCTAGCTGACTAGTTGCAAACAATTTCATGCAAGCAAGGCAAATTTAACGTCCCTCCAACCCACACGGCAACTTGGGCTTGCTGGCGATGCAACACTTTATGTTCAATGATTTTCTATAGTCAACTTAATATGTGCTTTGTCCGAACTTTGAGAAACCCTAAGTCCATGAAGTCAACCTCTAAAATCTTCAACCAATCCCCTGGGCAAGAAACATTGCATGATATAAAAGAGGTTTACCCCAAGGCACGGAATTTGATCTTCTGGACCGCACTCCACACACCCCTCATGTGAGCAAAGAAGCATGAGACGTGAAGTGATTCTTCCTATGCATATGTTCGATCGCCATCCACTTAATTCATTACTTCGCCACAAATCCCGCAAACCCTCTTTTCTTTTACTTCGAACTCCTCTTTCTCCAAACTAATCCCCACGATATGTCATCCGGAGTATCTTTGGTTCCGCTAGGGTCTCCACTGATCTTGCTACTTACACTCAATTTTTTTCCGGCATCCCCATTGAACCCTAAAACCTTAAACCAATCAATACCCAGACACCAAATCATCGCCAAGGCCAGGTGAGTGGACAAGCCATCCCCCTAGTCCGCTCCAACATGCAAGATTGGCTGGGAGGAGGATCAGGAGAAGTAATGGATCAAAGTCACTATGATACGCCACTTGGCGTCCGTTTTTTGTATGAAGTTTGTGATCGATGGCCGCAACCCATGAAACAAAAGTGATGGATGGCTTTTAACATGTGTCGTGCAGAAATCGAATAGAAATAATCGTATGTGTAGTAGTGGATATGGTGGACTCAAGTCAGAGAAAGTCCCCCGCGGAGGAGAGGAAACCCTAAGTTGCGAGACCTAGTGAAAGAAAAAGCGTTCATGCTGAGTTGCTTTTGATTTTTTTCTTCTTCTAATTTTTAAATATAACCCTTTCATCCTCTTGATTTGCCGGGAGATACATGGATTGATGAGAAAAATATATATTTGAAACAGAGTCCATTAATTACGTAGAAGAGAATTGTCCGGTCTAACAGAAAACCGGATGAAAACCGAAAATCCGATTCGTGTGACGAAGCACACCGGGGTGAGGGGACCCACCGGTCAGGCTGATCACCTCGGGCCCACCCATTAGAGAGAGGAGACCAAAATGACCCGCAGCTTTACACAAACCCCCCTCGTTTCCTCCGCCATTCCAGCTTTCCACCCCGACGAGCGGCTCGCTCCGAGTTCGTCCTCCTGCTCGCTCCCTCCGCCTCCCCCACCACTCCGCCCCCGCCCGCTCGCTCGCTCGCCGGGGCGAGATCTCCTTCCCCATCACCCCCGCCGCCTCGTCGCGGCGCGTCGCGACCGCCACCCCGTGGACCCCTAGGCTCCTCCGGCCGCAGATGCGTCCCCTCCTCGCCCTCGCCGTGTGCGCCCTCCTCGCGGCGGGCGCGGCCGCCGCGGGGGAGGATGCTGCGAACAGGACCAACAAGTTCCGCCAGCGCGAGGCCAGCGACGACATGCTCGGCTACCCCCACCTGTGAGTCGCGCTCTTCCCCCTCCCAAGCCGCCCCTCCCCGCGAGTCGCTCTAGATTTGGGATCGCTGCTAGATCCTCGGAGCCGGAAACGATCGGATGATATGTTAGCTCCCGTCGTTTATGCTAGTTTCGCTGCAACATTTGGCGTTAACCATTTCCTGTGTGGTTCTTCGTAGCCGCGTTGCTGTTGTTTACCTGAACCAGTTTGTGTGTGATTGCTGTGCCAGTGCTCAGTTCATGCCTTCACACCAGAGTCTCTGTTTATGTTAGAGTGACGCTATGTCCACAAACTATGTTGAACCACTCTATGATTTCTGTAATTGGCATATTCAGTGCTTAAATTCTGGTATACTAGTCAAGTATCTGCATCTCACATTGCTAGTTGATCATCTGAGCCTGATGTTCTATGTTATGTTATAGTTAAACAGGCTACTTGTGCAGAAGAATGCTATTCCCAATCCTGACACACATTGGTCTGGTTGCTTGTGTGAACCTGAGCTCCATTTGGCCTGCACATATGATGCACATAATCTGATTGCATGTCCTCACCTATCAAACCGTGGGTTCACTGGGCCCAGGGAATTTTTATCCAGCAATTTTGCACATATCCATGTTCCCATAAGAGTTAAAACCCACTAAGCTCTTACAGCCCCCCGCTCTACCACACCCAACCTAGAAAAAGAATGAAAAGACAAAATAGTGAGCTGAAAAGGTGAAAAACTCTTGCTTCTGTGAGGCCACAACCAAAACCTAGTAAGAACTTCACCGACGCCTCCTAGAAGTGTAGTTTTATGATAGCTCTTTACAGTGAAAGTTGCCATAAAACACGAGTATCTCCTGAAATTCACAGAAAAATCAGGGGATCCATGTATGGCTTCTGCAAAATTGTTGTCTGGAACATCTGCTGATCTCGGATAGAACTAAATATAGCTTCGAACTTGTTGACATAGATATCATGTGGCATTAGATATCAACGATGCTAATGATTTTGCTGCTCCTGAATTTCACTGGCACATTAATTCTTAAAACCGATAGAAAACACCATACAGGGAGCACAATGCATAGCTAATTAATAGAATGCTTACTACATTTTATATCTGTAAACAGAGTAGCTTGGTTTGTTAGATTAAAATACGTTTTTCTTCAAATTATTGATGTTTAGTATTGTTTTTTTCTTCACTAAAGAAGACTCCAACTTAAGTGAAGTGCTTTTATCCATGACTAATTTATGTGCACACCTGCTGACCTGCAAATGGTACAAGCACACAACATACATTAGTAATTTAGTTAGACCAGAGGATATGTGTTGTATCTAACCATTATGCACATTACATATTTCAAAGGGGCCTAGGCAAATAATGTCAGCAATCTGTACGGCTTGATGTATACACTTATATAACAATATAACATCTGTAAACCTTCTGTAGTGATGAAGATGCATTGTTGAGTACCAAGTGTCCAAAACACGTGGAGCTGAGATGGCAGACCGAAGTTAGTTCCAGCATTTATGCAAGTCCGCTGATTGCTGATATCAACAGGTATATGCTTGAGAAGTTATTTAGCCTCTTCTCCCATTAGTATCACGCTGATCTGTGTCATATGTACTTGATCATTTCATGTTTCCATCCTTTTTTGTTTACCTAAAGACGAAATTATCGCTCCATGCTCTGTAAAGAGTAGTGTGTTCCCTCTGTTTGATCACTATAGTAATAATGTGGTAGATCAGATAAGTAAATCATTGCCATGGTTTTCGAGTCGTGACTCATCCGAGTCACTCTGGGGTAATGACTCGGAAAAAGTCGAGCCTGCAGTTGCGACTAGTCGCGACTCGAGTCGACACTAAGTCGAGTCGACATTTTTTTGCGACTCATTGACTAGCCGCGACTAGTCGCGCGACTCGAAATCCATGATCATCGCCATAAACAAAGTAGCTGTAGCTTGCTTCCCCTATATGATTTTAGCTTACAAAGTCCAAAGTGCATGCATTTCATAGACATGCTAAATTTGACTTATTAAATATTTAAATGCCAGATGCATGCACAATTTTTTTTTGCTTCCAGTTGCTGCCTTAGCACCTTCTATCTTTTTATAATTCTATTCCAAACACACTTGAATGAACTTCTTTTTGTTGTGATAGTGATGGAAAGTTGGAAGTAGTGGTGCCATCGTTTGTCCATTACTTAGAAGTGCTTGAAGGTTCCGATGGAGACAAACTACCAGGTGAGGTTTCATCCTTTCATTTGGCATGCTATGCTGAGCTCTTTGCACATATTCTCCAAAAAATTTAACCGAACTATATTATATTAGTTTAAGAACTTTCAGTTGAATATCTGTTATCCATATCCTTCTTTTAATTGGTCTGGTTTGCTTTTCTTTTTAATATATATTTGTTGAAACATTAATTCCAGGATGGCCTGCGTTTCACCAGTCAAATGTTCATTCAAGTCCTCTTCTCTATGACATTGACAAGGATGGCACACGGGAAATAGTGTTGGCTACTTACAACGGTGTAGTGAATTTCTTCAGGTAAGGAACTCAATATTGGCATTTTTTTCTATGAACATGCGGATCTTTATTTGTTTGTTATGTAGGATATCAGGTTATCTGATGATGGACAAGCTAGAGGTACCTCGTAGGAAAGTTCGTAAAGATTGGCACGTTGGGCTAAATCCTGATCCAGTAGACCGTTCCCACCCGGATGTTGATGACAGTTCAATTGCGAAACAAGCTACTTCTGAGGAATCTCACCCAAACATTCAGGACAAATCGGTTGGAGATGAATCTTCAAAGGAACCTCAGTCACGTAAGTTAGCTTATAATCTGATGCCACATCTCTCACTGGTCTATACTAATGCCTTGTTTTATTTTTGCATTTGGATGTATAGATTTTTCTCTAGCAATCTGTATCTGGTAAGCTTTGCGGAAGTTATATGTACTGTTTCTTTACATTTGAATCAGGGGCTATTAGTTTGGTGTTGGTGTTTTTCCCTCTGAGAAAACTAAAAAACTTTGTCTTGATCCCCCACCACAAAGTATTGCTTTGGTGAACATATTTGTCAACTAGGCTCACTTATACTTGTAGATTGTACAGTTCACTTTTTCACATATTTGAGTTGGTATATAAATGTACAATTTGTCTGTTGTCACCACTCACCAGTATGAGGATTGATAATGTTTTAAAAAAATTTGACGTTACATGCAAACAGTAATCGTTGCACTACTCTGATGTGTGGGTAGTGGACTATCCATGCCATCCTGCTGTGGGTGTGTGGATGCAGGAAGTATGCATTTTGACGTTTTCTGTTTATTACTGCAGGAAGTACAACCAACACACCACAGGGAGCTGATCCCTTGAAACATCCATCTGAGCTACAGTCAGCCGAAACAAAACCTAATCCTACCGCTGAAAAGGAGAATCCAGAGTTGCCAAAACATCCGAAAACCACGACAGAGAGTGCATCACATGCTCAGAGAAGGTTGCTTCAAACAGCAGATAAAAGTGATGATCAAACGGGAAGTGCAGAAACTCATGGAAGTGATGCAGGAACAACAGGAGAATCAACTGTTGAAAATGACGAGCCTTTAGAGGAGGAAGCTAATGCATCATTTGATTTGTTTCGGGATGCAGAAGATCTCCCTGAAGAGTACAGTTATGATTATGATGATTATGTTAATGATACCTGGTGGGGAGACGAGGATTGGAAAGAACAAGAGCATGAGAAAGAGGAAGATTATGTGAGCATAGATGCTCACATATTGTCGACCCCAGTAAGTGAACCTTTTTGTTCCATTTTACATAAATTTTGATGTTTGTTCTAGTAATGTTCTTGAGTTGGTTACTTGGTTTGACATTTTTTCTACAGGTAATTGCAGATATTGATAATGACGGTGTACAAGAAATGGTTATTGCTGTATCTTACTTCTTTGACCGCGAGTAAGGCTGCTTTCTCTGCTACTAATGCATTTCGTGGGTGTTGCTCATGACATCTGGATGACGACTCATAAATAAGAAGTTCTGAATGCCAGTTTATTTGTGATGTCCTATGTTGCATACATGTTTCATTAATGCTCTCCAAGATTATTTTTTCAAAAATAGGACCCCTTTTGTTCTCTCTTTTTATGGACTGGTTGGTTGATGATGGTGCTTATAGCTAGTCTCAGTTAGATTGTGCATTTGCTTTCCTGACTAAATTTATGCTTTGCTTTGATTGTTTTTGTTCTGTATCATGCTTGTTCCAGTAATAATTGAAGGTACTAAAGCAAAAGCTAGTTTTTTTTTAATCTTGCTGTGCTATATTTTCATTATGATTGAAATGTTTTTTCTTAATGCAAAACTTCCAACCGCAACGTGAACACTTCATTATATATTATTGCCTGTGTTACCGTGGTGGTGTTCCTTTTGCAGTCTAGTAATCTGCTGTCTTTTACTGGCAGGTATTATGATAATGCAGAGCATTTAAAAGAGCTAGGAGGGATTGACATAGGAAAATATATTGCAAGCAGTATAGTTGTTTTTAACCTTGACACAAAACAAGTTAAATGGACAGCAGAACTCGATTTGAGTACCGAAAGCGGGAAATTCCTTGCCCATGCATATTCGTCTCCAACTGTGGTTGATTTGGATGGTGATGGAAATTTGGATATCCTTGTCGGAACTTCCTATGGCTTGTTTTATGTTCTTGATCATCACGGTAAGTTCTTAACCTCATAATGTGTAGTGCTGTATCCAAAAGCAGATTTAGCCTGAGCTGTCATTTCATATACTGCATACATTTAACTCTCATAGCCTAGTGTTTCTTCACTAGAATTGTACAAGACCTAGTGTAAACTATAATCAGTTTTTATCATGCTTTTTTTCATTTGGAAAATTCGTTTATAATCCACTGAAATCCTCATAGGGAAAAAAAGTGAATTTCCACATTGTTCATACTTTTATCTTTGATGCGCTGATATATGTGAAGTAACCATGAGCTCTTTGTTGTTGATTTGTTAATATAGGTAAGACTAGGAAAAATTTCCCCCTTGAGATGGCTGAGATCCATGCACCAGTCATTGCAGCAGACATCAATGATGATGGTAAGATCGAGATGGTCACTGCTGATGTGCATGGTAATGTAGCAGCTTGGACTGCAGAGGGAGACGAAATCTGGGAGGTGCATCTGAAGAGCCTTGTTCCACAGGCAAGTTTCACCCTATTCTCTGTACGGTGGTAACTGAATGCTTATATAAATTTGGTTGTCTATTCATATGCCAATGTAATCCAAGTCTCCTGACAATCTATACTATGCAATGGCTACACATGCTGAAGCTGCTTGCCTATTTTAGCTCAGGAGAATACGGTTCATCCAGAATCTTGCTTCAATCTCCTTAATATTCAACCATTCTGCCTTCTGGTACTATTAAAAATTGTTTAAGACGGATACAAAACATCATATTTGGTTTTAGTTAAATAAAGTTATCACATAGACGTATTTCTATTGCAGCATCTTCATGTTCTTTACTTTGTTGCATCTAGGCTTTTCTATATTCAATCTGATTGTTATTATCATATGATGACAGCGACCTACTGTCGGGGACGTCAATGGAGATGGCCACACTGATGTTGTGGTCCCAACTGTATCAGGAAACATCTACGTTCTTAGTGGAAAGGATGGCTCAAAAGTTCAGCCTTTCCCATATAGAACACATGGAAGGATCATGAGTCCGGTCTTGTTAGTTGACATGAGCAAACGTGGAGAAAAGACGCAAGGACTAACCCTTGCTACTACGTCCTTTGATGGTTATTTGTATTTGATCGAGGGCTCTAGTGGCTGTGCAGATGTTGTCGACATTGGAGAGACCTCGTATGCCGTTTCTTCTCTGCTCTTAAAAACATTTGGTAGCATTTTTGGATATTGTACTTGCATTTCACCAGAATGAGCTCACTGCTTTGCACATTGACAGGTACACTATGGTTTTGGCTGACAATGTGGATGGCGGAGATGACCTTGATCTGATTGTTACTACCATGAATGGCAATGTCTTTTGCTTTTCCACTCCCTCACCGCACCATCCTCTCAAGGTAGGCGATGCGTAGCCTTGGGTGAACCCTTTGCAACTTCTGATTGAGCTTGGTTTATACATAGATGGTAACAAGGTTACTTCTCATTCTAACTTGATTGTAGGAATGGAGATCATCAAACCAAGGAAGGAATAATGCTGCATATAGGCACAACCGTCAAGGTATTTATGTTAAGCATGGTTCCAGGACATTCCGTGATGAAGAGGGTAAACATTTCTGGGTCGAATTTGAGATTGTAGACAAGTACAGGGTTCCCTATGGGAATCAAGCTCCTTACAATGTCACGGTACATCCTGTCAGCCCAAAACCTAACCTGACGGACAAACCTAATACTTTTACTAACTCCAAACTATCTCCATTCTACCTCTGGGTTTCAGGTAACTCTACTCGTCCCTGGGAATTACCAGGGAGACAGGCGTATTGTGGTTAGTCAAGTCTACAATGAACCAGGACACAAGCAGATGCAGCTTCCTACCGTGCCCGTCAGAACCACAGGAACAGTGCTCGTGGAGATGGTCGACAAACACGGGCTCCACTTTGCCGACGAGTACTCGCTCACCTTCCACGTGCACTACTTCAAGCTGCTGAAATGGCTCGTGGTTCTGCCGATGCTCGGGATGTTCCTTGTCCTCGTCATCCTACGACCCCAAGAAGGCGCACCGTTGCCGTCGTTTTCGCGGAACAACATCGATTAGTGGCTCCGGTGGTGAAGCAGATCAAGGGGCCGGCCTGGCTCTCCCAGGACGGGACCTCTGCACACCGCAACACACCGGGGAGCGAGCGCGGTCTGCACCATGAGATCAGAAATCCTGTATGCCGCTCCCCATCCATCAGTTAACTAGTTCGGCAGGGCAGATATAGTTTTACAGTATAGAAATACAGTTGAGTTTTGAGGAAGAATTTTGTGACACATGAATTATTTTCTAACTGATGATGTGCCGCACTGTTCATCATGACCCTGTTATGTGTCAACCTGATGTATGTACTCAAGGGGTCCCTGTTTTTGTTGTACGGCTTCAGGCGCTGGTCTGCATTTCTTCAGTTTCTTGTGATGCCCGGAGCTTGTTTATGTGCAAGGCCACAAAGGTCCAGATTCTGAACTGCTGGGTTTCTGTTTTTTATCTGAAAGCAGATGTCAGGGAATGAGAAAATATATGCTGGCCTTCGTTGTTTTATTAGTGACGACGAGCTTATCTTCGCTTGCACCAAAATTAGCAGTTAGATGAAGATCTATCAACCCATTTATACTTGCACCAGTCTCGATGTTTAGACCAGATTGTTTTCAGTCAAATTTCCAAGGAGAATTCTCAGTCTAGCAGCCCATTTCTGTGCGTGAGATCTGAGATGCTACCGGGGAATGTTGGAACCAATTTTCTCAAAGTCTTTACTTTCTTGGGTCAGAATATGCGAGTATTTGTAGAAGACGAGTTCATAAGTGGGTAGTTAATTTACAAAAAACTGGGTGAAAACGTTTACAACATGACCGGCCTGGCTACCGACACGAACTGGACACACACCATCCAAAGGAAGGCTAGAGCCAATGTTGCCTAAAGGTGTCATCGTCATTGTCTTTTTTTTGCGAGAAAATTTCCGATCTATTCATCTTCAATCATAGCAGTACAACAAATACCAGAAATAATAAAAATTACATCGCTAAGTGGTCTATGAATCTGGATGTCTTTGCCCTTCTTCCAGCAGGCGACTCCGAATTCTCTTGCAGACGGACCACCAACAAAGCAAAAATGCTACACTCACGGGTCTTTACGAGGCTAATACAAACTTGTTCCAACTAATCAAACTAGAACCCCCTGATGATTTTCAGAGGATGGGCCCCTTTCAACCCTCTAAATCCAATCCTAATCCTCCATGTTTGCTATTCCGTGAAGTCTGTAAAAAAAATCGCCCCGTGAGTCTATTATTGCTCCCAACAAAGCCACCTCTGCAGCTACCTCACCAAATAGCTAGAACCTCACGTTGGAGATAGGCGGCTCTGATTCTGATGACGAGCTACGAAGGGGAGATGGGAAGATTTGCACTGAACACGACCTACAACATCGGGCCATCCAACATCGGTCATCGTCGCCGCACAGATGACACCAAACAGCTCCGACTTCACAGCAGCAAAGACAACCCAAGACGAAATCCCGTCAGACTCGTCGAACGAAAGCTAACTACCAAAACCCCACCGTGACCAAAACCTCGCTCCTCAACACCGTTGTTGCCACAAAAATGACCACGTGGACCTCTCACACCACCGGTTTGGCCTCATGCCTGCCACGATGCCATTCAGGTCTGGCCCTAGGAAGGCGCAATAGGGCTGAATGATCTTGAAAGTGACACCCCCCCCTTCGAGGGAGGTGCCATTGGGAATGACAATATCGTCTGCTCCGGCATCAACATGCACTGGCTCCGCCGTCCACGAGCGCACCCATGGCGACGCGACGCGCGCCTCCGCAGCTGATCGACGACGTCACGGACGAGGTCCTCCTCCGCCTCCCGCCGGACGAACCGGAGCACCTCTTCCGCGCGGCGCTCGTCTGCAAGCGGTGGCTCCGCATCATCTGCGACCCGGGCTTCCTCCGCCGCTACCGCGCCTCCCACGGCGCCCCTCCCCTCCTCGGCCTCCTCCACAGGCTCCAGGCGATCGAAGGTCCCCCGCCCGCCCGCTTCGCCTCCACCACCTCCATGCCGGACTTCCCCCACCCGGGCGGGCTCCGACGGGCCCTCGACTGCCGCCACGGCCGCGTCCTCGTCCACACGGCGGAGGACGACGGCGTCGACTTCCTCGTCTGGAACCCCGTCACGGGCCACCGCCGCGCCGTGCACGGGCCGGACATCGACTGGTTCTGCCTCATCGAGTCCGCGGTGCTGCTCTGCCGCCCACGGCTGCGACCACCTCGACTGCCACGGCGGGGGCCCCTTCCGCGTCGTCTTCGCCGCCACCCCTGAGTGCAAGGACACCGTGTTCGCGAGCATGTACTCGTCGGAGGCGGATGAGTGGAGCGTGCCAGTATGCCTTTGTCCGGTACATGGAGCGAGAGAGACTCGCAGACCACTACTACCACACACCCTATCTCCAGCCTAGGCGAGGCGCCGTCGTCGGAGATGGAGTCTACTTCACGCTTAGCCGGGGCAACGCCATCGTCAAGTATGATCTGGGCAAGAATCGCCTGTCCATTGTCGACCCACCGTGCCGGCCGGGACGTGTACGAGGTTGCCCTCATGGCCATGGAGGACACTTCACTTGGCTTTGCCTGCCTCCAGGGCTCCAGCCTTTATGTGTGGTCAAGGAAGGTGGATGCTGAAGAACCTGCAGAGTGGGTACAGTGCAGGGTCATCGAGCTAGAGAAAATTATACCTGTTGCCGATCACGAGAAGGCGTCAATTGTTGTTGGGTCTGCAGAGGGTGTGGGTGTCATCTTCGTTAGCACGGATGTTGGCTTGTTTATGATCAACCTCAATTCCGGGCAGCCTAAGAAGGTTGACGAGCCTGGGGTCTACTTCAGCGTCCTACCCTACATGAGCTTCTACACTCCAGGTATCATACTGGCCCTTGCTTGTCTCTTGTCATGCGTTTTCTTTACAGCTTCTGTATGTTTGTGTAGTTAGTTGGTTCTGATTGTTCAACAATCATCCATAAAATTTTGTGTATGCTAGTGAAAACTGAATATGTGGCATTGGGGAACAGAATGTAATTTTGTTTTCATATTGTACTTGTTAAGGGCCATGACATGCATCAGTTGTATTGCTAAATGTGCACACAAACTTGATGATCTTGTATTATCCTGTAACCGTGGTTCATATTTTATTTTTGTTAAAAAAGTTAGTTTACTCGCATAGCTGTAACCAGGCTCAGTCTTGTAACCTTCGGAGTTAGTACTAGCACATACCTAACCAAAGTGGAATGCTGAGTTGAACTGGTTGATATTAGTTTTGTTCGTGGTATCTTTTCAGACCATGGCACGTTGTTATCACTCTGACTAGCTGATCTCGAGTCGTTTATTTTCTGTTGAGCTGTTTGCATACAGATTGTGCAAGTCCATTATAATCATTTTTGTGTGTTTTTTTGGTCGAATTTATCGTGATGATATTGTTGTAAGTTTTTAGTATGTCAAGCATATCTCAGTTACTGTCTGGATAATGCTGGACTCAGCTACTTTGAACTAAAACTGAGTGTAGTCTATGTTGTTCCTCTTTCATGAAATATGAACTTCAGTGTTGATCTCGTCTTCAGAAGGATTAAATAGCATTGTCAGTCTTTTTGGACATACAATTGGAGATACAGGGATCCAAGATGTAATTTAGTCCCACCATAAAACGTTTACCATCTGTAAATCAACTGAATAACATATTTTAGTTTTGCTAGAGCTGTTGATTGGTCAAGTAGATGATGAAACATGAACTTGCTGCTAAGCTAAAATGGAGATTGCCAATTAATTGAATGAACTTGTTGATAATATTGTCCTGTTGCCTTGCTTTAGATTTCCAGAAAAACTGTAGGTTATTTTCTGGCATAGCTGAAGTTCCTATCTGAAACTGTATGATACTGGCCCTTGCTTTGCTGGTCCGTTGTCAACTTGTCATGCATTTTTTTTTGACGGTGACTTGTCATGCATTTCCTTTACAGCTTCTGTATGTTTGTTTTCTTAGTTAATTTTGGTTCTTCAACAATTATCCTCAGTACAATTTTGTGTATGCTAGTGAAAACTGAATATGTGGCATGGGAAAACAGAATGTAATTTTGTTCTCATATTTTAGTTGTTAAGAGCCATGGTATGCATCGTTCGTATTGGTAAATGTGCACGCAAACTTGGTGATCTTGTATTATCCTGTAACCTTGCTTCATATTTTCTTTTTGTAAAAAAAAACTAGTTTACTAGCATAGCTGTACACATACCATGCTCAGTCTTGTAACCTTCTGAATTACGAGTAGTACTAGCACATACCTTACCAAAGCAGAATGCTGAATTAAACTGTTGGTTAATAGTTCTGTGCATGGTATATTTTCAGATCATGGCACATTGTTAGCGCTATGACTAACTGATCTCCGAGTAGTTTATTTCCTGTTGAGCTATTTACAATTACATACAGATTGTGCAAGTCATTATAGTTAGCTAAAATAGCCAGTTGGTGGGCAAGTGCGGGTGGCTGTTGTCAAAGTGAAGTGAATATGTCTTGTTTCAGTCAGTGGTTTCGGCTCTCCGATTTG